TGACAGATACTAAGCCAGACATGTCGTCCGCACAGGGATCGCTGTCAAGCATGACAGCACACCCCAGAACTCCCCTCACGGACGTCGAAGTAGACATTCCTGCAGAGCGAGATCTAGAACGGACAGAGCGACTCTTATCAGAAGTGGCATCAAACATCAACACCGAAGCGATCCACACTTGGTTCACGCCTGAACGTCGAGGCAGGAATGCCAGGACTGAGTCCTCACCAGAGTTGGCAACTGGGGTGAAGAAGAAGGATTCCCGGAAACCAACAAATCTAGCTCCAGGCTCACGATTTAGTCCGCTTGCCAGAGTCTAATCGTGGCTTGAAAAGAAAAAGAAAAAAAATGCAGAACTATAACTATAATGTAACACCCACAGCACCACCTACCTCCCCGACCGAGTCACTCAGTGTGGGATTTCTGAATGTGTGTAGTGTTCGGCGGAAGGTAGCAGAAGTTCAAACGCTGATCTCAACACGAGGCATTCACGCTCTCAATAGCCGAAACATGGTTTCGCGCCGAACAACTCCTGCAGAAGCTCAATGCAGCGGAGGAAGAATGGAAACTCTGCACCAGACGTCGCAGACGCAGAGATCAACAACATCGACCCTGGCCTAAGCCAACCCCTTGCCCCAGCACAGGGCTCACGCTTGAGCCCACTGGCACTGGTGTCACAGGATACTCAATCCTAGCGCTGTCCTCCACACAATATCAGTGAGAACAATACTTTCAATTGCGGAAATACCAAAAAAAACGAAACAAATTACAAAAATAAATAAATAAAAAATGGAAGTCGCGAATTTCATCAGCTCGAACGTCAGGTGTCTGTTCAACAAGATGGACGAGCTTAGCCACGTGGCAGAGTTGCAACAACCGTCAATAATCGCCATCCAGGAAACCTGGGCGGATCCATCGGACAGCGACGGGATGTACGCCATCAACGGCTACAAACTCATAAGAGCGGACCGGGACACCTTTGGTGGAGGAGTTGCCACATACATACCACACAGCTGCCAACACGAGACAATTACCATTCCCATGACTCAAGCGGAATGTATTTGGATTAGTATAACAATCGGCCTAACCTCCCTTGTGGTAGGGAACATCTACCGTCCCCCGCGGTCCGACCCGGCAGAGTTCGTGATGGAACTGGAGAGAGCCATAAAGCTAGTTGAAAGACCCCAGGATGAGATACTTCTCCTTGGCGACTTCAACGCCAAGAACTGCTTGTGGCACCCCAGCGACACCACTGATGCCTTAGGTGAGGACCTGCATTGGCTGAGCGAGACTCGTGGCCTCACACAACACGTCTCCTTTGCCACCCACCTACGCCAACACACACCTACATCGTGCCTGGACCTGGCCATCTCTAGCCTCAGCCGCCATAACATCACCATCACAAGCCTGCCCCCTATTGGTGCCTCTGATCATGTTGTCATACAATGCAACCTACAACCCCAGCAGCACACCACCCACAGAAACAATAATACCGATAATAATAAAAATGAGAGCAGTACTTCACAGCAAAGCACCTCCAGCACATACTGGTTGTGGAACGAGGAATGCATTGCGTCCCTGCGTGAAGCTCTTGCTACCTGCAATCTGCAGTACGATCCACATCCCACTGACCCTCAGCCAGAAACCTCATTCTGGAACTTCTGGAGAGACCAGATACTGAAACTAGCCGTGCACCACTGCCAAGTGACCAGAAGCAAGTCCCGCGAAAATTCTACGCCCACTCGTCCCTGGATGACGAAGGATCTCCTCAGCCAGATCAAAACAAAGCACAAACAGTTCCGCACCTACAAGGCGACCCAACTAGACTCAGATTGGAAACTGTACACAGCCCAGCGTAACCGAGTAACCGCTCTTTTGCGACAGGCTAAGTCCGATTTTGTCCAGCAAACAACGTCAACGGGTACAAACCTCCACCGTCTACTGAAGCACCTGAAGAACCCGCCTAAGCAAACAATTCCCACACTATCGACAGCCAACTCCACTGCAGCCACGGCTATGGAGAAGGCAACAGCCCTCAACAAGTTCTTTATCTCCCAAAGCCAACAGTCCATCGACAAGACCACCTGTACTACACCAGACATCAACACTACCCCTGACATCAGTCATACTCTAAATACAATCGCAGCAACAGTGGAAGAGGTCGAGAAGCTTCTAAGCAGTCTAGACACTGGCAAGAGCCCAGGCTTTGACAACATCCCAACTCGGCTCCTGAAAGAAACTGCAAAGGAAATCTCCCCATCTCTCACTAGTCTCTACAATCGGTCCTTCAGAACCGGAGAAATACCACAGGATTGGAAAGACGCAACTATTACACCCATCCCCAAGTCGGGAAACCCCTCCCATCCTACCAACTACCGACCCATCTCCCTGCTCAGTATAATATCAAAAACACAAGAAAAAATAGTCCACTCTCGTCTGTACAATCACATAGCACCGCACTTACCCTCCAACCAATCCGGCTTCAGGAAACAAGACGGGACCGAACTGCAACTCGCACGGATCGTCCACCAGATAACCACAGCTAGGGATGCGGGGAAGCATGTTGTGACGTGTTTCTTCGATCTCAGTAAAGCCTTTGATCGGGTATGGCATCAAGGCTTGCTGAAAAAGCTGAGCCACTACGGTGTTGACGGCAAGGCTCACAATTGGCTCGAAGCCTACTTGACAGGACGCAGACAGCGGGTGCAGGTTGAAGGCACAACATCCGCCTTCATACTAATACCAGCGGGAGTGCCCCAGGGCTCGGTCCTGGGACCACTTCTGTTCCTGGCGTACACCATTGACCTGCCCACTGCCTGTGAAAATGCTACCTCGTGTAGCCAGTTCGCGGACGACACCGCACTGATTGCCATTGCAGGCAGCTACATTGAGTGTGAGGCTGCGCTACAAAGAAGCGTCGATGCCGCAGCAGAATGGCTAGAGCGCTGGCACCTGCTAGTCAATAAAACGAAAACCGTCATTCTCCCGTTCTACCATGCTAACCGCCCCCCACCACGACTACCCGAAATAAAACTTGGCCAAACCCTACTAGAAACAGTAACACAACATCGTCACCTCGGCATCATCTTTCAGCACGACCTAAGATGGTCAGCCCACCTTGACTTTGTGCTAAAGAAAGCTGTAAAATCTTTTAATATTCTCTTTAGGCTCAAATCAACTCTACACACTAAATCACTCTCTCTCATTTACAAAACGTATATCCTGCCCATAATTGAATATGCATGCATTGCTGTCACCCCGCTCTCAATCGCAGCCCTTGACCGTCTTGAGCGAATCCAGCGCAAGGCGACCAGAATCTGCCTCCGTCTCCCCCTCTACACTCCTCTGGATCATTCAACACTGCTCCATCGGCTCAAATGGCCGACAATGTTCTCTCGCCGCAAAGTGAAGCTCACCCTTCTTGCTCACTCCATAAAATACCGATATGCCCCACAACACATACGCTTGCTCAACACCCCCGCTCAAGTTACCGCCCAGTACAGCCTTCGACACGCACGCACTTGGCACCTCCCACCCTCCAGAACCGATCGCTGTAAAGACTCCCCACTGTACAAGTCCCTAGAATACTACAATGCCCTCCCTGCTAGCATTCGTGACGTCTCCTCCCGACCTGCTTTCAAACAAGAAATCTGCTCACTGCTGATTAACTCAATCTGCTCCTGCAGCGCTCACCCTCTCCCATACTTGTAAAGTTCAAAGTGATGTAAATCACTTTCCAACTGTTTAACCCACAATCTCACCTTCTCATCAATTTATCTCTTATTGGCGATGGTGCCATCGTGAGAATAAAGAATTCAACAAGCTGCACTGTGACATGCGAGAACACGTAGATCGACCTGCTACTTTGGTTGGTTCCAGCGGTGATGAATCGACCAATGGCAACTTAGACTGACACTCTATTCCCATCAATCGGTCTTGCAGATTTTTGAATACATGTCCATTGAGTGTGTTGGAGTGTTTCCCTTCCAATAATACACTTTCGTCGAGCAGAGTTGCTCACAGAAAAGTCACGTGAAAAAGTCATGAATTTTATGTTTCCGGAGGCCGTAATTTCACCACCGAGCCCCCCCCCCCCTCACACAAACACACATGCATACACACATACACACACACTTGTACTTGTACTTGTTGTCACTGCCAAAACTGGTCACGTGGGTCTCCCCGGGAGAGGGGAGAGGGACCCAAAAGGAATCTTGGAAAAATGACTCAATTGGCTATTGAACCGCGCAACGGCCGACAGCCCCTGAAATCCCTAAAACTTCGGGGAAATCACCCTGAAATCCCCAAAAGTATACAAAACTCTAGGTTAACAGGTATGTATACTTAAAATAGAAAGTAAATGAACCCTGGAACCAACAAAGGTGGCAGGTACAACATTACAACTTCAAGCAGCCGAGCCCTTTGGCAACACACCCAACACAATCAGGCATAAGTGTACCCACCAACCGAACTATGTGGCACCACAAACACACACACACACACGCACTCGCGCACGCACGCATGCGCGCACGCACACACACACACGCACACACACACACACACACAAACACACACACACACAAACACAAAAACGAACACACACACCGGTTCTGTCCTTTGTGGCTTCATCAATACAGCACTGGGGGAATGGGGCTCAGCCTGATAGCAATGAAAAGTGCAAAGCTGAAGAATTGACCAATACTACTCAGCCTGATTTACAGCGCACAGCTTTTTGAAGTGTTTTTTTTCCCGGGCAGTGAATTCCTACACCGTTTCTTGATATGTGTTCCTTGTTAAGACAATACGTAATCAAACACCGTGCGCATAGCACTGTATGTTATAAAGACCACATGGATAACATATTCAACATTCATTATTATTTTTTCTCCCGTTATGTGAACAGATTGTATGATGAATACTGATTGCCCAACAAGCTAGTGTGATTTTCACCCGGTCAGGATTGTTAACTTATCAATATGGTCTCTACTGTGTATCTACAGGTTGCAACACAAAATCACTATAGGTCTATTCGTGATACCTCTACATCATTTGGTAGCAAGGGTAATGGCAGGGTGCAGTTCTCTAGTCCACAAGGTATCACAATCAGCAACGATGGAAAGGTCTTTATTGCTGATCACCACAATCATCGGGTGAAGGTTAGTTTATAGAAACCAGCACCCACATCTATCTCAATACACAATTTACATCATCTTCTTGATGTATAGCAAGACATGTAAACTGCATCTGCAGTATTACTCTACAGGAAGTCATTGGTCTGGTAGATAGTGTTATCAACCCACATTTCCTTATGATAGTTTCTCCTCTCCTAAAAGCCATCATACCATAGGAAGGTGTGAAACTGTAGCGGGCCGCAGTCTCTCTCGGAGGCAAATGCACACGGGTCTCAGTGAACACACTGTAACGGGAAATTGAAATGTAACTATAACTGACAATGAAATTAACTGGCAATGGAATTAACTGACTGGCAACTAAATTAACTAACTGGCAATAAAAGAATCGTGAGCAGCAGCTTTTATGCAAAGGCAGACTCCGTACGCTAATGTACGGGGATACGCTAACGTATGGGGATACAGTACGGGGATATGCTAACGTACGGGAATACAGTAACATAAGGGGATATGCTAACCTACGGGAATACGCTATACGCTACACCTCCCCTCTCAAATACAATCACGTCCTCGTGATTCTAATACTCGGTGATAGCTGGACACCAACAACTGGCTGTTATTTAGAAGAAACTGGCGGCATGCATGGTCGCGTCGGGACAAACTCGACGAAAAAAAGTGTAATGGGGAGAGGTCGGGGAGAAAAGCACGTACATCATGGAGGCGGTGGCGGTACAGCACAGTGAGCAAAACAGTTAAAATCGTGAGCGTACCAGGGTGGGCAAGGAGCAAGACAGCAAGGCATATAAACACAGTGCTTACGTAGGTCCCGGAAGAGCAGGATGCGGCAGGGCTAGCGTCCGAGGTACTTAGTACTGCCGCCGGTAATTTCCCGCCTGCGCAGGACGACGGGCACGGCATTCTCGGCTTATGTGACCCTGTCGGCCACATGACCAGCAAGTGACAGGTGTGCGGCCTTGCGTCTGCGGGGGCTGTGGTAGTTGGTCAGGTCAGGACCGACGAATTGGTCCTGGCAGACTGGCCTCCAACGTAGCCAGACGGTCTAACACAGCTTTCAGTTGGTCTGTCACCGTGTCGAGTGGCTAGGAAACAGCAAAGGCAGGGATCGGCACAGGTTCCGCGGCGGGCAGTTCGGCAGCTAGGATTGCCTGGTGATGGAGCGCGGCCTGGAGGGCCCCGTCTGTCGTTTGCGGGTTTAGCTCCCGAACGCGGACCCGCATGCCCCGTGAGTCAAGCCCGGAGATAAACTGGTCTTTTGTTAGGCTGTCGAGGTCCCCCGCGGCCATCTGGGGGTAAGCTTGCCGGGCCAGGGAGCGCACCGCCTCACAGAAAGTACCCAGCTGTTCGTCTTTGGCCTTGCGACGAGCTTGAAACGTTGCGCGATAGAGGTCGACGCGCTGCGGTGGATCAAACCGAGCTTGCAGCGCCTGGACTAGCTGTTGGTGGCCTCCGTTCTTAGTAGCCGCTGGGAGTGATTGGTAATACAGCTAGGCCTCGCCTTCCAGTGTGAGGCCCAGGAACTGCGTCTCTTGAACGTTGTTCCAGTTGTTTACCGCGGCGACCTGGTCGAAATGCATCAGCCAGGACGCGAAGTTGTCCTGCAGGCGACCTTTGTATTTTTCGGGCTGCACATGGTACGCCCCTCTCGGTGGTTGGGCAGGAGCGGGCGGAGCTGGTGCTGCAGCGGGCGCAGCGACAGGTACCACAGCAGGTACATTTGGTTGAGCCATCGGATCGGAGAACGTGTAAAGTAACAAAGTTATGTATAGAATGAAACAAAAAGAATTCACCGCTGCCACCAATTTGTATCGGGCCGCAGTCTCTCTCGGAGGCAAATGCACACGGGTCTCAGTGAACACACTGTAACTGGAAATTGAAATGTAACTATAACTGACAATGAAATTAACTGGCAATAGAATTAACTGACTGGCAACTAAATTAACTAACTGGCAATAAAAGAATCGTGAGCAGCAGCTTTTATGCAAAGGCAGACTCCGTATGCTAATGTACGGGGATACGCTAACGTATGGGGATACAGTACGGGGATATGCTAACGTACAGGAATACAGTAACATACGGGGATATGCTCACCTACGGGAATACGCTTTACGCTACAAAACGATCTCTTGGATCCCCATATTCTATTTGCATATCGGAGCTTTGGGATTCGATATAACAGTGTATACCAGCCCGAAATCGGGTTTTCCTTTGCTGGAAAAAATTTCGTAAAAGAAAACTGCCCCACACGTGATCAATCAGCTCAAACACGGAAACTTTAGCTTCTTCTTCATCTTTTTTTCTTTGCACTAGTCCAGCGGGCTCTGGGCCAAGCCGTGCGCCCACTCGAGAGGCGTTTGGCTTCTTTGGAATGCCGCAATAGTCGATGCGGGTGTGAGATTTGGAGTTCAACTCTAGGCAAGAGCATGACTCGCGGATCGTGGATGGTACATGTACCCCGGAAACTGATCCACTCCTGATCCCAGTTGCTTCACAATTGGTTGAGTCCTCTTTGGCGAGGTCTACTCTGCCCGCTCATGCTTCTAGAGCCGGTCTTGAGCATACGCGTGGCGGTTTCGTTGATGGCGACCTGGTAAATAATCCCACCCTGAAGCCACTTGGTGCTCGTTCCACCTCGAGAGAGCCGCCTAGGCTACAACCTCTTCCCTGAAACCTGTGTGATCCTGAAGATCCAGCAGGTCTGGCACAATCAAGCCACCTGCCGCTTGTACGACGCTATCTGGTGTGGCAACTGATGATTTGGACTCTCAGTCTGGTAGCACACATAGTCTGGTGTCTGAGTGCGTGGGTCCCAATACTGACTGGCCAGCGGATGACGGGGATGAGGAGGAGAAAGGGTTTACCCGATATGTTTTGTACGAAACTGCCAAGCTTCCCAAGTCATGTCTCCCCTCAGAAGTCCGACGCAAATCCGGGCAGGCATTTTCCGGCTGCTACCCTCACCCGGACACTCCCGCTGCATTAGTCCTGGCTTCGGATGCGCAAGTCGCCCGCATGGTATATTCTGCTGACAGGAAGCCACCTCGTTCAGAGGCTCGGCCGGATAGGCCTCAGTACCTGACGCAGCCGAAGTTGTTGAATGTGGTGGATCCCGTTGTGCTTCATTCTTGAGGTACAAGCAAAACCCTGACTTCGGTGAGCAAGGTCAGCAGATGATCCAGGGCGGGAGGAAGGAGTTTGGGAGTGGTCCAGCCAACCCTTGAGGGGGGTCGGGGGATGTCCCCCGGGAGAAATATTGAAAATTTACGCGAAATAGGGCGAATTTGGGCATCTAGTGATGCTCCAGAAAATGCAGAAAATTATAGTAAAAGAACACAAAACTACTTTTTTCCATAATATTAAAACCATACAGTGCCGGTGATGGTAACATCCAAGAGATTGAATACTGTCTGTAAGGAATAGGTAAAAAAGCGATCTATAAAGATTTTAGTAACTATGATCTCGTGTCGACTTCTCCATGTATGCGATACGATCGACTCCCTCGATCGAAAGAGGAGTCTCTTTCGATCAAGACTCTTCTGTCTTGTGCGATGTTTTCGCTCGCTTCCAATGTTGCCTAGTGCGTGCATTTCAATAGGAGTGACTGGTGGTACTTCTTTGGTGGAAGGTGAGCTCATGAGGTCGTGATGCAGTCTGCTTGTCACGTAGTCCTGAGCCACTTCGAAGCACATCACACGTCGGCAGCACAGTCGAGTCATGTACCTCTGGATTTTTTACACCGGTTTTGCACGAATCACATGGACCATCCAGTTGGGAAAGTGGTCCGGCCATGGCCGGACCAGCCTGACCGGTTCCGCCGGCCCTGAGATCCAGGAGGCCGCTACGGCGGCACTGCGTCTCCCGGTAGATGCTAAACAGGCACTCACCATAAAACGACGTTCCATCTGTTTATCTAAGATCCACTGCAAGCTCTCTATCCTAGCCCCAGCAGATCTTGCTAACCCTGGTTAGTCAATATTTGGCTCTGCCCAGAACGAGCAGATAACTAAGTGAGCGGAACCGGGCAAGGCCTGGGCCGATGTACGTCATACGCTGCCTGCAAGTCATGGCCATGTGGCTGGAAAAGACAGACGGCCGCCAAGCTTTCAACAAGACCAGAGGAATAGCAACACCAAATGCCGCAAGCCTTCGGAAGCTTCCCCTGTGCCGTTTTTTAAGGGAGACGAGCCCGCAGCAATGGGTGGACCTCCGCAAGCCATGTCCCTCACCGTCCACATTACTCCAAGAAGCCGCAGTGTCAACCCCGGTCACACCAACAGCCCGACAACAAGCAAGGCCCTCCTGAGCCAAACAGCGCCTAATACGTTGCCTTCAAGTGTGCTTGCAGGCACTACCACCATAACTGCAGTGTGGATGCACCCAGTTACCCAAGTGGGGTTTGGACTGGAGGTTGGCCGCCTCGGAGGTCCAGGGACGTCCGAGCGGCCTAATTGGTGGTCAGATCAGACGCTGGCGTCAGCTGACCGAAGACTCAGAAGTCACGCAATATGTGCGAAGGTTTTGCGAAGGTTTTGCCAGGAACCAGTCCAGTGGTGGAAGCCACTCCCCAGGAAGATGTCCTAAGATTTGACAGCAGTGGTGACAGAGGAAGTGGAGGCACTGCAAGAGAACAATGCCCGTGAAAAGGTGCCCCTGGCACACCTGGCTTTCTCAGCCCACTGTGTGTACCGAAAAAGAACGGTAAGATGCGCCCAGTGGCCGACTGCGGGAATTGAACCGGTTTGAGCAATACCACAATTAAATAATGGAAGGTATTGCCACCATGCGGGAGGCACTGATAAAGAACGATTTTATGGTGAAAGTGGACCTAATCAACGCATACATGCCAATGCCAGTGCATCAAACCCTCCGTCGCGTCCTTTAGGTGCTGTGGCAGAGTCGGTAGTACCGATTTGCGCCTGTCCTGTTTGGCCTGGTATCTGCTCCACGGCAATTCACCAAGCTCCTTTAACCGGTGATCACCTGTTTCCAACTACAGGGTGTACGTCTGG